ATAGTTATGACTATTTGAACAATTATCTATTTCAAATCATTATGACTATTTGTTTTGTCATAAACCAATTATTTCTGTTCAAAAAACCTTATTCAGAATAAAATAATACTAATTTATTAATATTTCAAAATTAATAAATAAAATATTTTAAAAATAAATCTGTTTACTGTGTGAGTTCAAATAATTATGACTATTTAAATAATTATTTATTTTAAATCATTATGATCCTTTGTTTTATCATAAAACAATTATTTCTATTTATACAAGTTTATTTGAAATAAAATAATTCTAATTTATTAATATTCTAAAAATCAGTAAGTTGAAAATTTAAATAATTAATTTGTTTACCAAACAAGTTCTAATAGTCATGTCCATTTGAACTATTATCTATTTCAAATCATTATGACATTTTGTTTTGTCATAAAATAATTGTTTATATTCATACAAAATTATTCAGAATAAAATAATACTAATTTATTACTATTTTAAAAATTAACAAGAGATTTAAAAATTAAATCTCTTTACCAAACTAGTTCAAATAGTTATGACTATTGAAATATTAATAAATTTATATTATTTTATTTGGAATAAGCTTGTATGAATAGAAATAATTGTTTTATGACAAAACAAAATGTCATAACAATCTGAAATAGAAAATAGTTTAAATAGTCATAACTATTTGAACTTGTTTGATAAATAGATTCATTTTTTAAATCTCTTATTCAATAATTTTTAGAATATTAATAAATTAGTATTATTTTATTTCGAATAAGCCTATATGAACTGATGCAATTGGTTTTTGATGAAAAAAAAGGTCATAACGATTTAAAATAAATAATTATTCAAATAGTTATTACTATTTAAACTTGTTTGGTAAACATATTTATTTTTAACATCTTTACTTATTAATTTTCAAAATATTAATAAATTAATAGTATTTAATCTGAATAAGCTTGTATGAACAAAAACAATTATTTTATGATAAAATAAAAAGTCATAACAAGTTGAAATAAATAATTGTTCAAATAGTTAAAATTATTTGAACTTGTTCGATAAATGGATTTATTTTTTCAATCTTTTACTTATTAATTGTCTTAATATAAATAAATTTCTATTATTTTATTCAAAATAAGCTTGTATGAATAGAAAAAATCATTTTGTGACAAAACGAAAGGTTATAGAAATTTCAAATAAATAATTATTCAAATAGTTATAATTATTTAAATTTGTTCACTAAATAGATTCATTTTTTAAATCTCTTAATTATTAATGTTTGGAATATTAATAACTTAGTATTATTTTATTCCAAATAAGCTTATATGAATAGAAATAATTTTTTATGATAAAACAAAAGGTCATAACGATTTGATCTAGTTTGATAAACATATTTATTTTTTAAATTTTTTACTTATTAATTGTTGAAATTTTAGTAAATCAGTATTATTTTAACCCGAATAAGCTTGCATGAACATATAACAAAACAAAAAGTCATAATGATTTGAAGTAAATAATTGTTCAAGTAGTTATAACTATTTGAACTGGTTTGATAAACAGATTTATTTTTTAAATCTTTTATTAATTTTTTAAATATTAATAAGATTAATATTATTTTATTCTGAACAAACTTTTATGATAAAAAACATTCATTTTATGAAAAAACAAAAGGTCATAACGATTTGAAATAGATAATGGTTCAAATAGTCATAATTATTTGAACTGGTTAGGTAAATAGAATTATTTTTTAAATCTCTTACTTATTAATTTTTGAAATATTAATAAATTCATTTTATTTTATTCTGAATAAGCTAGTATGAATTAAAAAATTATTTTATGACAAAACAAAATGTCATAACGATTTGAAACAGATAATTGTTCATATAATCTTAACTATTTAAACTAGTTCGACAAACAAATTTATTTTTTAAATCTCTTAGTTATCAATTTTTGGAATATTACTAGATTAGTATTATTTTATTTTGAATAAGCTAGTATGAACAAAAATAATTGTTTTATGACAAAACAAAAAGTTATAATGATTTGAAGTTTACAACTATTTAAACAATCATAACTATTTGAACTAGTTCAATAAACAGATTTATTTTTTAAATCTCTTATTTATTAATTTTTGAAAGATTAATAGATTGGTATTATTTTATTTTGAATAAGCTTGAATGTTCAAAAACAATTGTTATATGATCAAACAAAAGGGAATAATGATTTGAAATAGATAATTATTGACATGGCCATAATTATTTCAACTGATTCAACAAACAGATTCACATTTTAAATCACTTATTAATTTTTGAAATATTAATAAATTAGTATTATTTTATTTTGAATAAGCTTGTATGAATTGAAACAATTGTTTTATGATAAAACAAAGGGTTATAATGATTTGCAATAGATAATTATTTATAAAGTCTTAACTGTTTGAACTGCTTTAGTAAACAGATTTATGTTTTAAATCGTTTAGTTATTCATTTTAAAAATATTATTAAATTAGTATTGTTTTATTTTGAAAAAGCTTATATGAACTAAAGTAATTATTTTATAATGGAACAAAAGATTAAAACGATTTAAAATAGATAATTATTTAAAAAAGAGTTGATTCGGTAAATAGATTTATTTTTTAAATTTACTACTTTTTATTTTAGATAAGCTTTTATGAACTAAAACAATTATTTTATAATAAAACAAAAAGTCATATTTATTTTAAATATATAATTGTTGTAATAGTCATAACTATTTGAACTTATTCGGTAAATAGATTTTTTTTTAATTTCTTGCTTATTAATTTTCTAAATGTTAATAAATTAGTATTATTTTATTTGAAATAAGCATGTATGAACTGAAAAATTATTTTAAGAATAAACAAAAGGTCAAAACAATTTGAAATAGATAATAGTTTGAAAAGCCTTAACTATTTGAACTAGTTCAACAAACACATTTATTATTTAAGTCTCTTACTTATCAATTTTTATTATATTATTAATTTAGCAATGTTTTACTCCAAATAAGCTTGTATGAACAAAAATAATTGTTTTATGGCAAAACAAAAATCATAATGATTTGAGATAGATAACTGTTCAAATAGTCATAACTATTTGAACTGGTTCGATAAATAGATTTAGTTTTTAAATCTCTTAATAATTTTTGAAATATTAATAAATTAGTATTATTTTATTTTGAATAATTTTATATGAATAGAAGTAATTGTTTTACGACAAATCAAAATATCATAATATTTAAAATAGATAATAGTTCAAATAGACGTGACTATTTAAACTTGTTCGATGAACAAATTTATTTTTTAAATCTCCAACTTATTAACTTTTAGAATATTAATAAATTAGTATTATTTTATTTCAAATAAGCTTGTATGAATAGAAACAATTGTTTTACAACAAAATAAAAGATAATAATGATTTGAAATAAAAATTATTCAAATAGTCATAACTATTTAAACCCTTTTAGTAAATAGATTTATTTTTTAAATCTTTTACTTACTAATTTTTAAAATTTTAATAAATTAGTATTCTTTTATTCTGAATAAGCTTTTACGAATAGAAACAATTAGTTTATGACAAAACAAATTGTCATAATGATTTGAAATAGATAATTATTCAAATAGTTATAATTATTTGAAAGTGTCAAGAAAACATATTTATTTTTAAAATTTTTGCTTAATACTTTTTGGAATATTAATAAATTTATATTGTTTTATTCAAAATAAGCTTGCATGAACGAAAACAATTATTTTGTGATAGAAAAAAAGGTCATAATTTTTTAAAATAGATAATTGTTTAGATAGCCATAACTATTTAAACATGGTTGGTAAACCGATTCATTTTTTAATTCTCTTACTCATTAATTTTTGGAATATTAATAAATTAGTGTTATTTTATTTCAAATGAACTTATTTGAACTGAAACACTTGTTTTATTACAAAACAAAAAGTTATAATGATTCACAATAATTAATTATTCAAATTGTCATGACTATTTCAACTTGTTCGGTAAACATATTTATTTTTTAAATCTTCTACTTATTAATTGTCAAAAAATAATAAATTAATATTATTTTAATCTGAATAACCTTGTATGAATAGAAATAATTATTTTATAGCAAACCAAAAAGTCATAACAAGTAGAAATAAATAATTGTTCAAACAATCATAACGATTTGAACTTGTTCGATAAACAAATTTATTTTTTAAATCTTTTACTTATTAATTGTCTTAATATTAATAAATCTATATTATTTGATTCCTAATAAGCTTGTATGAATAGAAAAAAATTATTTTATGATAAAACAAAATGTTATAGTGATTTGAATAAATAATTGTTCAAATTATCATAATTATTTAAACTTGTCTGGTAAACAAATACATTTTTTATGTCTCTTAATTATTAATTTTCAAAATATTGATAAATTGGTATTATTTTATTTCAAGTAAACTTATATGTGGCAACTGAAAGTTGTTGTGCCAAGTTTTGTGGATTAAGCAATAATTGGAGGATTTTGGAATAACCATGGATCATATTCCCATTAAATGTGACAATACTAGTGCCATCAATCTCACCAAAAATACAATTCAACACTCTAGAACCAAACATATTGAAATTAGGCATCATTTTATTAGAGATCATGTTCAAAAGGGTGATATTGTGCTTGAATATGTGGATACCTTGCATCAACTAGCTAATATCTTCATAAAACCTCTTGACAAGGATAGATTTTATGCAATTAGAGGTGAACTTGGCATGATGAATGTTCCTTAAAGTGGATTTCTTGATGTTATGATAAATAGTGCACTCTTGATTGATCTAATATGTGTTTATCTAAATTTTTTTTGTAATTTGTGCATGATTGTATGCTTGAATGATCATAATGCATGTTTCTCAAATCTTTTTATTAAAAAAAAAATGCTACAGCTCAACCCAATCGATCCTCTTTTGGAATGGATCGATTGGTTCTTCACCTAGCAGCCATCTTCTCACTCTTATCATCCTCATCAATCTTCTCATTCTTCACCTCCACCATAATGAACTTCACTAGTGTCATCCCTTATGTTTTTCCCACATTATTATATTTTGTAAATCTAACTTTGCATTTTTGTTTGTAAATATTGGCACTTGATCTTCATATCAATAAAATTCATCTTTCATTCTATTATTGTGTGCTATTTTTGTGTTGTTTAATGATTGATGATTAAGTGGCCTTGAATTGATTTTCTCTCATTTGGTTTCATTTTGCTTTATTTCATCTTTTTTGTTATGACAAAAAGAGGGAGAAATATTGTATGAAAAATTGTTTTGATGACTCAACAATATTGGTTTGGTGATATTGAGTTTCCTTAGTTGGCTTATAACTAATGCTTAAATTTAAGGGGAGTTATATTCTTTAGAGGGAGTTGGCTTTTCATAGATTAAGGAGGAGCTTTTTTTTCGAAAGGAAAATTGTTTTTAAGTAAATTTTTCACTTGGTTTTGTCATATCAAAAAGGGGGAGATTGTTAGCCTTGAATTGATTAAGAGTTTTGATTTGACAAAATAAAAATTTTCCAAACTTGTTTCAATCTTGCCTAAGCTTAAATTGAACATTTTTCCACCCTTCTATCTTGCCAAAATTCATTTGAGAATCAAAACAACTCAAATTCTCATAACAAAACATGATTTATGCAAGTTTTAATAGAAGGGATCGATCCCCTACCAAAAGGGATCGATCTTGTTTTCAACCAAAATCGAAAGTTCTCAAGATTTAGCAAAAATTGATCGATCCCCTCCCTGTAGGGATCGATTGGTTAGGGTTTCAAGCTGAACGGATCGATCCTCTCATTCAAGGGATTGATAACTTTTTCATATAGAATGTTTGTATCGTGCAATTTTCCAGAAAACGGATCGATCCCATCACATAGAGGATTGATCCCTTCTTAAAGGGATCGATCGATTGCTCAGACAGAATGTTTCCCAAGTTTGAAAACCCAAAAAAGGGATCGATCCCCTGTTAAAAGGGATCGATCGATTGCTCAAACAAAATGTTCCCCAGTTCGAAAACCCAGAAAAGGGATCAATCTCCTCTTAAAGGGATCAATCGAGTACGACAAATTAGGCACAAAATCGAGCCTTCTCCAATATGAACCAATCGATCCCCTATGATAAGGGATTGATCCCCTGAAGGCTAACAACTTCTAATGGCTATTTTTTTGTCTGAATTTTTGTAGGTTTGAAGCATTAAATGCAATCCAATAGCTCTCAACTACTTCCTAATTATAAATCAAGCATTCCACTACAGACCAAGAGAAACAAGACCAAGAAAACTTATTTCCATTCACCTACCAATTTGCTCAAGCATTCAAAGTTGTTCCAAGTTAGAAAAATGCAGAATTCATATCAGGTTTTCTCTATTTTGTTGTCTATACCACTGTGTACTTCAAATTAGCAAACGCCCAACCTTTGAGAGATTCTTAGAGTTTGCAAAACACTTCATATCTCTGTATTGTGAGTTTGTGAGCTTAAGGGGGAGGATAACCCTTAAGAGTATATTGTGTTGAGTTTGTAAAGCTTAAAGAAGCTTGGTTGTAATCTTCAACACTTATAGTGGATTGAACTCCTTGGCAAGAAAGGCTAAGGGAAAGGACGTAGGTGCCTAAGAAAGGACCGAACCTTTATAAATCTCCGTGTTATATTCTTTATCCCTATCGTTCATTTACTTACAATTATTGTGTTTAATTGTTTAGCAAAATTTGTGCTTATTGAATATTGTTTTTCAAAAATTTATTAAAACCAATTCACCCCCTTTTGGTTTATTCCAAATCTTTGAGCTAACAAAAAGGAAATGTCATAATGATTTGAAATAGATAATTATTCAAATAGTCATGACTATTTGAACTTGTTTAGTAAACATATTTATTTTTTAAATCTTTTACTTATTAATTGTCAAAATATTTATAAATTAATATAATTTTAATCCGAATAAACTTGTATGAATATTAATAATTGTTTTATGACAAAACAAAAAGTCATAACAAGTTTAAATAAATAATTGTTCAAATAGAAATAACGATTTGAACTTATTTGATAAATAGATTTATTTTTTAAATCTTTTACTTATTGTCATAATATTAATAAATTTGTATTATTTTATTCGAAATAAGCTTGGATGAACATAAAAGAATTCTTTTATGACAAAACAAAAGGTTATACCTATTTCAAATAGATAATTGTTCAAATAGGCATAATTATTTAAATTTGTTTAGTAAATAAATTCATTTTTTAAATCTCTTTATTATTAATTTTTAGGTTATTAATAAATTAGTATTACTTTATTTTGAATAAGCTTATATGAATTAAAACAATTCTTTTATGACAAAATAAAAGGTCATAACAGTTAATTATTTGAACGGTTAGGTAAACAAAATTATTTTTTAAATCTACTACTTATTAATTTTTGAAATATTAATAAATTTATTTTATTTTATTTCGAAAAAGCTAGTATGAATTCAACAAAAATTTTTTTATGACAAAACAAAAGGTCATAATAATTTAAAAAAATAATTGTTCACATAGTTTTAAATATTTGAACTAGTTCAAAACAATTATATTTAATTCTCTAGTTATTAATTTTTGGAATATTATTAGATTAGTGTTATTTTATTTCAAATAAACTTGTATGAACAAAAATAATTGGTTTATGACAGAACAAAAAGTTATAACAATTTCAAATAGTTATAACTATTTGAACTAGTTTGGTAAATAGATTTATTTTTTAAATCTCTTACTTATTAACTTAAGAAAGATTAATAAATTAAAATTATTTTATTCTGAATAAGCTTGAATGTTCAAATACAATTCTTATATGATGAAACAAAAGGTAATAACAATTTGAAATAGATAATTATTGACATGGCCATAATTATTTGAACTGATTCGATAAACAAATTCACTTTTTAAATCACTTACTTATTAAATTTTGAAATATTAATAAATTAGTTTTATTTTATTTTGAATAAGCTTGTATGAACTGAAATTATTGTTTTATGACAAAATAAAAGGTCATAACGATTTGAAATAAATAATTGTTCACATAGTTTTAATTGATTGAACTACTTCAGCAAATAGATTTATTTTTTAAATCTCTTAGTTATTAATTTTCAGAATATTATTAAATTAGAATTATTTTATTCTAAATAAGCTTATACGAACTAAAATAATTATTTTATAATAGAACAAAAGGTTACAACAATTTGAAATAGATAATTGTCCAAATAGGAACTGGTTTGATAAATAGATTTATCTTTTAAATAACTACTTACAAATGTTTGAAATATTAATAAATTAGTATTATTTTATTCCAAAATGGCATGCATGATAAAAACAATTGTTTTATGATAAAACAAATTTTCATAATGATTGGAAATAGATAATTGTTCAAATGGCCATATTATTTAAACTGATTCGATAAAATGATTTATTTTTTAAATCTCTAACTTATCAATATTTGAAATATTAATAAAGTAATATTATTTTATTTCAAATAAGCTTTTATGAACTAGAACAATTATTTTATGATAAAACAAAAGGTCATATTTATTTTAAATAGATAATTGTTCAAATAGTCATAACTATTTGAACTTGTTTGGCAAATAGATTTATTTTTATAAATTTCTTGTGTATTAATTTTCTAAATGTTACTAAATTGGTATTATTTTATTTCAAATAAGCATCTATGAGCTAAAAAAAAATTTTTATGACTAAACAAAAAGGTTAAAATGATTTGAAATAGATAATTGTTCTAATAGTCTTAATTATTTGAACTGGTTTAATAAACACATTTATATTTTAAATCTCTTACTTATTAATTTTTAGAATATTATTAATTTAGCACTATTTTACTCTTAATAAGCTTGTATGAATAGAAATAATTGTTTTATAAAAAAATAAAGATCATAACGATTTGAATTGGTTTAATAAACAGACTTAATTTTTAAATCTCTTATTAATTTTTGAAATATTAAAAAATTAACATTATTTTATTCTAAATAATTTTATATAAATAGAAACAATTATTTTACGACAAAATAAAATGTCACAATGATTTGAAATAGATGATAGTTCAAATGGATATGATTATTTGAACTTGCTTGGAAAACAAATTTATTTTTTAAATCTCCAACTATTTAATTTTTAAAATATTAATAAATTAGTATTATTTTATTTTGAATGAAATTGAATGAATAGAAAAAATTATTTTATGACAAAACAAAAGATCATAGCGATTTAGAATAAATAATTGTTCAAATAGTCATAACTATTTAAACTCGCCTAGTAAATAGATTTATTTTTAAATCTTTTACTTATTTTTTAATAAATTAATATTATTTTATTTCAAATAAGCTTTTATAAACAGAAAAAATTGCTTTATGACAAAACAAAAGGTCATAATGATTTGAAATAGATAATTCTTCAAATAGTCATAACTATTTGAATGTGTTTAGAAAACCTATCTATTTTTTAAATTTTTACATATTAATGTTTCGAATATTGATAGATTTATATTATTTTATTCAAAATAAACTTGCATGAACAGAACCAATTGATTTTATAACAAAACAAAAGGTCATAATGTTTTAAAATAGATAATTATTCAGATAGTCATAACTATTTAAACATGTTCAGTAAACAGATTCATTTTTTAATTCTCTTACTCATTAATTTTTGGAATATTAATAAATTAGTACTATTTTGTTTCATTAATTAGTACTATTTTGTTTCAAATAAGTTTAAATGAACTAAAACAATTCTTTTATTACAAAACAAAAGGTTACAGTGATTTAAAATAGATAATTATTCAAATAGTCATGACTATCTCAACTTGTTTGGAAAACATATTTATTTTTTAATCTTTTACTTATTATTTGTTGAAATATTAATAAATTAATATTATTTTATTTCGAATAAGCTTGCATGAATAAAAACAATTGTTTTATGACAAAACAAAAAGTCATAACAATTTGAAATAAATAATTGTTCAAATAGTCATAAAGATTTGAACTTATTTAGTAAA